TCGTCGGCGCCTCGCCGCCGTTGGTGGTCGTCCGTCGCCGTCGCCGTCGCCGCCGCCGCCGTCGTCGTCGTCGTCGTCGTCGTCGTCGTCGTCGTCGTCGTCGTCGGGCGTCGTCGGTCAGCCCCCCGTTGCCATTGCGACTGCGAACAGAAAAAATACGGGCCCCGGGCGGGGGGTGCGCGGGGGGGTCCTGGGAATCGGCCATCGCCGCCGTCGTCGTCCGTTGTCGTCGCTGTCACCGCCGCTGGCTGCTGCTGCTGGCCGCTTCCGTCCGCTTCAGGGCCCGGTTTCTATTTTTTGGGCCCCGCGGGGGCCAGGGGGGGGCGTCAGAAAGCTTCAGGGGATGTTACAGGAGCCCGCGGAGGTGTTACACGGGTCCGGGGAGGTGTTATACATCCCCGGCAAGGTGTCATACGCCCCCAGGGAGCCTGGGGAGATGTTATACAGTCAATTTGTGCGGCCCTGGGGTTATACGGCCCTTCTTGGGAGGGTGATCGTAGGCCCCGGGGGAGGTGTCAGACGGCCTCAGGGAGGGGCCCGTGGGTGTTTCACGGTCCCGGGTTCCGACTTTTGGGGCCCCGGGGGATCCCGGGGGGAGCGCCAGAAGGCTCTGCAGGAGGATGTTATACGACCCTGGCGAGGTGGTGTACGGGCCCGGGGAGGGTGGCCCCAGGAGTTATATGGCCCTGGCCAAATGTTACGCGTGCCTGTGCCGCATAGGCCCCGGGGGAGGTGTCAGACGGCCCGAGATAGGCCCGCGGATATGTTATACGGATTCGGGAGGGTGTTAAACAGGCCCGGGAAGATGCGGCCCCAGGGAGGTGTTTTACTGGCCCAGGGAGGTGTTATGCAGCCACGGCCCCGGGGAGATGGGAGGTGCTTCGTAGGCCCCGGGGGAGGTGTACAGACGGCCCCAGGGGGCTGCTGTAGGGGCCCTTAGGGGCCCGCGGAGGTGTCATAGGGGCGGTGGCCGGGGGGCCCAGGGGGAATCGGCCAGTGTCGTCGTCGTCGCGGATCGTCGGGCCCGTTCAGTCCCGCATGTTCGGTATTCGCCTTTCTTTTTTGGTCGATTTCGGTTTGCAGTTTCGGATTCGCTCCCGTGGCTTCCGCGCTCCGCTCGGTCTGGTTCGGTCCGGTTCGGGGGGAAGCTTCGGCCCTGTTCAGAATCAATCGATATCGAAGCCGGTTCGGTTCGGTTCGGTCGGTTCGGTTCGGCGTTGCGAAAGTTACCGATTCGCGCTGGTTCGGTTCGGCCCATGTCGGTTCGACCGGTTCGATTCAGTTCGGCGGCCACCCTGCCAGATTGTGGGCATGTCTTAGGCGGTTTTCCTGTTTCTGTCCCCCAGACTTGTTTCTTTTGGTGTTCCATTGCTCGCCGCGAAATAGAAGGTGTGGCACTTGAGCACGCTGGGGGGGGAGCCGCCAGATGGTCTTGCACGGGCCCGTTCGCACCCAGATGGCGGGGATGTCTGAGGCGATTTGCTCGTTTCTGCCGCCCCAGTTTTTTTTGCGGTGGTCCACTGCTCGCCGCGATGTAGCAGGCGTTGCGTTTTGGCACCTCAAGGGGGAGTCGCCAGGGGGTGTTGTACGGGTCCGTTCGCGCCCAGATTGCGGGGACGTCTCGGGCGGTTTGCTTGCGTCTGCGCCCCAGATTTGTTTCTTCTGGTGGTTTACTGTTCGCCGCGATATACAGGCGTGGCATTTGAGCACCGCAAGGGGGGCCGCCAGTCCAGGGGGTTTTGCACGGGCCTATTCGCACCCAGATTATAGGAATATCTCAGGTGGTTTGCCTTTCCCCCCCGCGACCTTCCTTTTGGGAGTCCACTGCTCGCCGCGAGATAGCAGGTGTGGCACTTGAGCGAGCCGAGTTGGAGCTGCCAGGGGGGTATTGCACGTGTTTGTTCGGGCCCAGATTGTAAGGATGATTCAGGCGCTTTGCTTATTGAATCGCTTCGCTCACTCCGCCGGCCCATATTGTTTCACTGGTGCTACATGTTTGTGTGATCGAGGCGGGCGAGAAGGAGGAGAAGGAGGAGGAGGAGGAAGAGTAGGAAGAGTAGGAGGAGGAGGTGGAGGAGGAGGAAGAGGAAGAGGGGGGGATGATGATGAGGAGGAGGAGGAGGCCTCCCGATGGCTTTTTGTGGCAGTGTGTGGCCAAACTTGGTCGTGGGCGAGATGCCGCTTTGGGAGGAACTTTCGGGGAAGGGTTCGAAATCTCAGCTCGGGTTCCGTCGCTTGGGGCTTCTTGGAGGGCCTCTGGAGGGTTCTTTGGGGGCCTCTGGGGCTGTCTTGTGCTCTTTGGGGCCTCTGGGGGGCCTCTTGGGAGCTTCTTGTGGGCTTCTCTTGGGGGCTCTTGGCGGCCTCTTGGAGCCTCTTGTGGGGGGCTCTTGGAGGCTTCTTGGGGCCTCCTGGGCGCCTCTTGGGGCCGAGGGCTCGAAATGTCCGTTCGGGTTCCCCGTCTGGCCCCCTCTTGGGGCCGTCCTGGGGATAACTAGATGTGGGGCCTCTTCGGAAGTCTTTGAGCGTCGGGAAGCCGAACAGATGAGAACGCCAAAATTCTTCAACAACCCAAGGGAAATCTCCTGGTGCCCTCTTGGGGCGCTTCTTCGAGGTCTCTTTGGGCGTCTTGGGGGCGTCTGCGGCCGTCTGGAGGCTATCTTGGGCGTCTTGGACCGATCAGTCGGCGACTCGGAGCCCTCTTGGACCGTCTTGGGGACTCTTGGGGCGCCTGAAAGCCGCGCCCAGAAGGAAAAAGCATCTCTGGGTCGGACCGGCCGGTGTACTTTTCGTCCGGGGACCCGTCGCGCGCGCGCGAACCAGAAATATTGTTTACCAGTAGCCGGAGATCTTAGCACGCCTCTGGCCCGTTGGGTTGGCGAATGGCTGCCCCCTCTGACGTTTCCCTTGTTGTGGTCCACTGCTCACCGCGATATAGCAGGCGTGGCACTTCGGTACCCCAAAGAAGGGCCGCCAGGGAGTATGGCACGTGCCCGTTCGCGCCCAGTTTGTGGTGATGTCTCTGGCGGTTTGCCTGTTTCTGCCCCCGCGGAATTCTGCGTGGCATTTCGGTACCCCAAGGAGAGCGGCCAGGGTTTTGGAGATTCCAGGGTTCGCGTCCAGATCGTGGGGATGCCCCCGGCGGTTTGCTTGATTCTATCCATTGCTCACAGCGACATAACAGGCGCGGCATTTGGGCACCCCAGAAGGGAGTGGGGGGCTCCACGAGTCGCATCCAGATTGTAGGGATGCCTCAGGCTGTTTCGCCTCCCGAGGCTTCTCTTTGGGTTTGTGTGCTCCTCATTCCTCATTTCCTGTTTCTCTTCTTCACTCACATGCACTCATTCACACGCAGACTTACTCATCAGCACCTTTTGCTCGCTCAGGCTCGCCCATCACATTCATGTTCGCCCATATTCTTATACACTCATACCCAGGCTCACTCATATGCAGACGCATTCGTATTCAGACTCAATCCATCTCGGCCTTACCAACTCACACTTGGACCTCTTTACACTCACCTACCCTAAGACCCATTCATACTCAGACTCAATCGTGCTCAGGCTCACACATTTTCATATTCATGTTCGACCTTCTCATATTCTGACCCACTCACATTCAGACTCACTCGCACTCGGACCAACTCGCACTCAGACTCACTCGCACTCAACTCACTAGGGGTCAGGCCCACCCGTACTCAGACTCACTAGGTTCAGACTCGTTCACATCCAGGCTCAATCACACCCATATTCACTCTCATGTAGATTACGTACACTCTGGTCTCTCACGCTCCGATTCACTCACACTACGGTTCGCACGCAGATGGCGACCGCTATCAAGAAGGCGTGGCACTTGGGCACCCCAAGTGCCAGCATGCGCCGCGATCAGCACTCCACAGAGCGAGCGTAGCAACTCCACACGCTCTTGCCTGAGTTGCCACACTGAGAACGGCAAGAGGAATCACCCTTGCTCTTCCAGTGATGTTCCCTTCATCTCTCCTGAAAGGTGTCCAGAAGAGGAGGACGTCACTGGACTCGTCGCTGTCGTCGTCGTCGCTGTCGTCGTCGTCGCCGTCGTCGTCGTCGTCGTCGCGCCCGTCGTCTACGCGGACTCGTTTTCACACCCAGGTACTCAAAAGCACAGTTACTTGGCGAGACGTGACAAGACGATGAGATGCATGATTTTCTCGGTTTCGGCCTCCCGGCTCCGTCGTCGGGCCGCGGAGGTACGCAGGGAAGGGGTCGGGACCTCCTTGACGCCTCGGATTGAACAGCTACGTCGGCGGATGTCAGGGGAGGAACACGTCTTTCGTCCTCACTGTCGCCTCGTGCCCGCCCTGCGTGTTCCCGATCGAGGCTTCTCGGGGAGGTCTTGCGGGATGTCGCCGGGTACTTGAGGTCCTCGGGCCCCGCAGGGCGTGCTCCAGCTTGGTCACGCCTAGCTGGAGGCTTCTCAGCCAGGCGCGCGCGCCGTGCCAGACTCAGGCGGCCCCCTCTCCTGGCCAGAGGTGACCATCGGCCGACAGGAGCCATCGGGCGACAGGGGGCCCGCGTGCCCGCACGCCCCCCTGCCCCGTGCAGACCCCCTCGCGCCGTTTCCAAATCACTACGGGGCGTTTTGGGTTCCTTTCGGCTTCCCCAGGCCCTCACTGGATCCCTGGACCGTGAAAGACAGGCCCGGGACGACAGACCGGTCCCGGGGAAGTGGTCCAGTCTTCCAGGAAGCCATGTTTTTGAAAGAGCCGCGACGTGGGATGTCTAGGGCCTCCTGGCACCTGGACCGTCGATCCAGGCCGCCCAGATGGGGATTTCTAGGACCTGGGTCGGAGGATAGCGCCGCATCTGCGATGAATCGCATCGCAGATGCATCGGCGACGCGTTGCGGTCTTGAGCCCGATCTTCTCCATTCGGAGGTCGCCGATGCGGCGTCGACATTTCAGCAAAGCGGTGTGAGCCTCCGACCCCATACGCGGGCCTCAGGACGAAGCGCGGGCCCTGGGGAAGGGGGCGGATTCTCCAAGCCCGCGCCACGACCTTGAGATCCGACGTCGCGAAAAGTTGCAACATCGCGAAACATCACGACCGCGAGGGCCAAAACACTGAGCGGCCCTTTTCCCGACCCTGGCTGCGCGCCGCGGGCAATGGACGACCAGGGCAGCGCCAGCGAGGCTTCGTCCTCCCATGCCTCGGAGAGTGGCGGCCACCGCCCCCGCCCGACGAGGGGCGGCCGTGCCGTGCGCATGAAGAGCTTGCGGCAGTCGCGGGCTGGCATGCACAACGGCGAGCCTGGCGGCGTGTGTGGCTGCGGGCAGCTTCAGGCGTTCCTGGAGGCCCGCCTGAGCCAGCTTGAGGAGGCGGGCCGCGTGCTCGTGGACAAGCAGGTGGCCTCCATCCTGGAGGCGCTGGCGCAGAGCAGCCGTGCGCCCCAGCCGCCGGAGCAGCGCCCCGGCCTCCTGCAGTCGAGGGAAGGCCGCCTCTGCGCCGGCCACCTCGGCGGCGAGGGCCGCCGTGGCGGCCCCGGCGCCCGGGACCCCGACGCCCGCTGCGTTGACGTGACGGAGGAGGCGGGCGGCGTGGCGCCGCACACCGGCTGCGGCGGCCTCTTCTCGGAGGACGGCCCCGCCTTGGAAGGCGGGGGCTTGAGAGCAAGCCTCCGCGGCCTGTGGGCGCCCCAGTCGGCCCCGGAGGCGGAAGACACGGCGAGCCCGAGCGACGAAGCGGGCTCCCGCAATCAGCTGGGCCCGAGAAAGCTGAGCCGATCTAGCTCGGGCGTCAGCAAGACCAGCAAGGCCTCCGCCAACCTGAGCATGGAGAGCGCGCTGCCATGCGTGCACGAGCAGCTCCAGTCCCCGACCACCAAGACCAGGATAAGCACGTCGCCGGCGCCGAGCGATACCGACCTCGACCAAGCGCGTCCCAGGCCCACTCGCTCGCAGTCCAAGAGATCGGGGAGCAGCAAGAAATCGATCAGGTCCGAGGTCAAGCGCCCGACCGTCCTCAGCTGGGTCAACGACACCAGCAGGGACCAGTCGCGCCGGTCCACAACCAGATTCACTATGTTCCTCAGGTCGCTCCCGGTCCCGGGCACGGATGAGTTCCTCTCGTGCTTGCAACGGGCGTCGTCCCTGAAGGAGCCAGACAGAGTAGGGCCACTGCACAGATGTGTCCGGAGTCTGCAGTTCAGCTTTGTGTGCCAGAGCGTCATTCTTCTCAACACGTTTTTCGTCCTTGTCGACACGAACTACCAGATAGAGAACCTTGACAAGGACGCGTTGCCGATTCCGTTCCCTGTGGACCTGTTCTTTGGCATTTTCTACACTGGCGAGCTGGCCCTGAGGATATATACCCACCGCTACTTTTTTTTCATTGGGGAAGAGGCGTCTTGGAACTGGTTCGACACCTTCTTGGTGATCGTTACAATGCTGGATTTGCTCGGAAGCATGGGAGGCAACGTGGGGTACACTCGCGTCTTCCGTGTGCTGAAGGTTGTCAAGGTCCTGAGGGTCGTGCGCGTCCTCCAGTTTTTCACCGATCTGCGCATGATGATCAATTGCGTCCTGGCATCGATCGTTTCCCTGTTCTGGTGCATAGTGATGATTGTATTTGTCATGTTTATCTTCGCGGTCTACTTCACGCAGGAGGCGACCAGGTACATGAAGGAGGATGGCCCGCCGAATGTCGAGCTGGCAGACTACCCTCTCATCCGGGTCTTTTTTGGCAACGTGCAGACATCTATCTTGACCTTGTTTATGTCTGTGACTGGCGGGGAGGATTGGCGTAACGTTTATGTCGTGTTGCAGCCTGTGGGGGACATGCCGTGTGCCTTTTTCTTAGCGTTCATATTCGTATTCCTTTTCTCAATACTGAATATCATTATGAGCATCTTCGTGGAGAAGGGCGTCAAAATGGCCGAGCCAGACACGAACAACCAGATCCTCGAGGCGAGGCGGAAGCAGGCTGCCGACAGGAAAGAGTTGATGCAGATGTTCAACAAGGTGGACGCCGACGGCTCCCAGACTATAAGCCAGGACGAGTTCGAGATTTGCGTCGCGACGGAAGAGTTCAAAGATTTTCTCTCGACTCGCGGCATCGACATCAAGGAGGCCAGGACTTTCTTCGACATGGTAGCTGACACCATTGGAGACAGGGAGTTGGACGTAAACCACGTCGTACGGTGCTGCCTCGGCATCAAGGGGTTCGCGACCAGCGTAGACCTGCACATCCTTCGCTACGAGGTGAGGGAAGCGATGCGCCTGATTGAAGAATTGCATGTTGCCTTCTGCGCAGACTCGTCATCACTCGAAAGCCCCAGAAGCGGGTCGGACAATTGTGATGTATGAGTCCTTTGTTCGCCCGTGTTCTCTTGCGCTCCCCCCCCCCCCCCAATATTCCAAATGATTATCTGTCGCACCCATCACAAATCATCAGCTTGCCATCATCTCCATCATCGACCCTCTTCGTTGCACACGGCCAGGGCCCGTACGGCCCGCCGAATTCACTCGCTTCGCGCAATGCCATCTGCCTGAATGGGCCCAGAAGTTATCGCTTTTGCCATCTGCCTGTGTGGTCGCGGCGATTGAGCACTTGTTGGGTGGACGGAGCTTCCCCACGTAATCTTTTAGAGGTGGCATGGAGGAGGATGAGGAGGAGGAGGAGGAGGAGGAGGAGGAGCCGTTGGGTTGATTGAGGGCAACACTCAACGGAACACGACCCCATTCAAGTTTCGGCGTAGAAGGCCGACAGCACGAGAAGGCAGCATCCATGAACACCATAGAACAGTTTACTCATGCTATGCGGAGCCGTTTCGTACGCTGCCGGTCATCTTGGCGGGCACCTGAGAGGCTCTTGGCGATTTCCAGGGGATTCTATACGTTTGCCAGCCATACTGTGGTGTTGGGTCCTTGTTCTGAAGGGACCGCGCCCCGTGTCCTTCCTCCTCCTCCTCCTTCTATCCTCTCCTCCTCACTTCTGAATATATATATATATATGCTTTGCTTACCTCCTCTGTCTCGTCGTCCTCACTTGCCCCTTGGAAAATTAGAAGGGCTTCTCGAATATGAAATACATACATATGTATATACTCGACTAGAACCACGCGCGCTTCGCGCGCGTTGTTAGGTTCTAGCAAACCCCAGGCCGTGACAAGTTCACAGACCGTTTGAAATAGCTGCCCACAAATGGCATGAACACGAGATACACCGAAGCGTCAACAATACAGACAATGGCACACCCATGCAATACAATGCAAACCAATGCAAAGCAGTGGAGAGGACGATCAGAATGGAGTGCCCCCACTGGTACTGCAATGCAACGCAGTGCCATGGACACCAGATGCGATCATCGAGAAGCATTGCAAGCAAAAGCTTGTCAAGCAAATGAAAGGCAAGGCAACGTGTTGTAATGCAACTCAATGCAAAGCAAAGCAATGCTGACCAGCGCAATGCCGTTTGCGGAGCCATGCCTGTGCGCAGCCGTTAGAAAGCAACCAAGCGAAATATAGTTCAATACAATGCACAATAACGCAAGGGGCCGCACGAACCCGAGGGTTCCAGAACCTCAGAGATCCCAGGGATAAGGTGTGTAAAATAAGTGCTGGATACCCCTAGTCCGCTGTCGGTAAACCTCCACATGACGCTGGCGCACCAGCTCGTCCTTTTCCTCATCCCCCTCCTCGTCCTCCCTCTCGCAATCGATCCTCCGGCCGGTCGGCCGGCCCCGACAAGCGACCGTTTAGATCGCCACGCAGATTTCTTACGGGGACAAGGAAGTAACGAAATTCTCTCCCTCAGGCTGCTGGGCAATAACTATTACAGGTAGCCCCCGGTCCATCGGCCACGCTGCCCGGACAGGCTATACGTTTTCTAATTTGGCCTCGGGGGGGCAGGATTTGCCCGCTCGCATGCGGCGGTAGTCTGGAAGCCACGTCAGGCACTAATCCCCTGAAGCCTGGAGCATTCTCCGTGGGATCTGCATGTCCACCACTTTTCTATACTGTTCTTCCCGGCAGAAGGCCTAATCTGGCCTACTCTGGACCTGGTGGTACTTTCAGGTTCTGGGCTATCGACTGTTCCCGCATTGTCCCTTTAAGTTCTGCGCTTGCACTACCATCTGTCTCAATATCCCTTCGGTGCTAGCAGCAATACTGCCTTCCAAAGATGCATCGCGAAATGCTCACGATCTGGCTGAAGATTTAAGATTTCTGGCATCGCGCTGGAAAATGATCCCCGACAGAACGCGTTGCGAGCCTCCGCAGTAGCGCTGGCTCATCACACATGTATCCATATACCCGGGGGCCGTGTGGGAGCCTCTTGGGGCCTCTTTTGGGCCTTTTGGGGGCCTCTCTCGGGCCTCTTTGAGCCTCCTGCGGGCCTCTTGGGGCGAAAGGCCCGAGTTGTCGGTTCGTGTTGCCCCTCTTGGGCCCCTCTTGGGGCCGTCCTGAGGTCCTCTTGGGCCGTCTTGGGCGCCTCCTGGGTCCTTTTGGGGCCCTCTTGGGCTGTCTCTTGGGGGCCTCTTGGGCCCTCTTGGGGCGATGTTGGAAGCTTCTTGGGCAGTCTTTCGAGCGTCGAAAGCCCGAAAACGCGAGAACGCGAAACAGATTGAAAACCACAGTGGGTATCACCGATTTTAGCCCCCTTGGGCCTTCCTGGAGGTCCCCTCGGAGCGCTCTTGGGGCCTCTTGGAGGCCTCTTGGGCCATCATGGGGCCATCTTGGGCGGTTTGGTGCGCTCTTGGGCTGTCTTGGCGGCCTGTGGGCGTCCGCTGCGGGCGCCGAGGAGGGCCCTGGAGGCAGGGAACGCCCTGGAGCGTTCGAACAGGTCCGCCGGCCCGCGGGGCCGAAAGTGGGTACCGGGGGGGGGAGGGGGGAGTTCTGAAAAAGTGGGCGGCCCCGGGCCTGGAGTCCGGGTCGCCCGTCATATTCTACATGGTGCCAGCGCATCAGCTGGCAACACAATTTGCTGTTGTGCTGGCGATGAAATATTATGTGTCAATCTGCTGTGATGAGCTGGTGACAGGACGCCTTCGCGCACCTCATGGCAGGAGACACCAGTGCCCTTGCCGACGAGGCAACGCGCCTGTCATGATGCATGGCCGTCTTGCTTTTCTGGCAAGTGACCATTTTGTTCTTGCTGTGACTTGCGGCCAGGTGCGATCTCAAGCACGCTTGCAGAGTTTAAGTTTAACATGGTTTACTATCTGGAGGGAGACTGTCTGATATCGTTCGCGCAGCCCCGCCCTACGGTTTTAAGCAGTTATTGTGGAACTGGCACTATCTAAAGGCTGCCGCCTCTGCTGCCGACCCCAACTGAGCGACGTATGTTTGATTCGTTTGTTGTCGGGGTGACTTTCCGAGCACGGCAGGAAGGATTCGGGTGAGACATCCAGGCCTGAGCCTCGCCCCCTGGACTCATGATTCTCTGTTGCACCTCGGACTCCTCTCTATCGAATGGCCTTCGGCCCATACCGCCCTTGTGCTTGGGTTGTGGGTGTGAAGCCTATTGGATGTTCGTTGGGATTTCGTGAGGGACCTTTTAGGGGGCCTCTTGGATGCAGTTTTGAGGACTCTTGGGGGCAGTTTTGGAGCCTCTTGGGGTCGCTGTTGGGTCCCTTGGGGGCCTCTTGGAGCCTCTTGGGGCCTCTTGGATGCCTCTTGGGGCCTCCTGGGGGCCTCTTGGGGCAGAACGCTCGGATTTTCGGTTCGTGATGCCTCCATTGGGCAACTTTTCGGGCCGTCGTGGGGCCCTCTTGGGCCGTCTTGGGCGCCTCCTGGGCAGTCTTGGGGCGTTCGAGGACCGTCTTGGAGGCCTCTTGGGCAGTCCTGGAAACAGGCGAGAACGCAAACATTTTTCAAACAACGAAGGCAAATCAATGATTTTGCCTCGCAGGGCCTCTTGGGGCATCTTGGAGGCCTCTTGGGCCATCATGACGCCATGAGGGGCGTCTTGGGGCGATCTTTGGGCGTCTCGGGGCGTTCTGGGGCCGTCGTGGGCCTCTTTGGGCACTCTTGGCCCGTTTGGGGGCCCCCATCGTTCCGAAACAGTCACGCGAGAAACCGCGAGAAGCCCCAGGAGAAGATTTCGCGATGTGGGGTCTGGGTCTCTGAACGACTCCTCAGGAGTGAGGATTGTGCCCAGAGGCACGGTGGCGGATCTACATAACCATGATAATCCGATGATCATGGTTCTGACGGATCGCATCGCATTTCCGAGCTCCAATGGGGGATCCGCCTAGGGGTATTTCAATTTGTTTTTGGTTGGAAGCGTGAGGGGTGGCAGTGACTCGGGTTAGCGGTCGGTGGATTGGGCGAGGTGGCAATTGTTATCCAGGATCAGCGATGACCCCATCCGCGAAGTGGAAAACTGGGGTCGGACAAGGAATCGCGATTGACCATCTCTTGCCCAGAAGGCGGGGGGTTGAGCTAGGAGACCCCATGCGAGAAGTTGTCGGGTCGGTTTCGGCGAAACCATCATCGTTATTTTGGGCCCTCCCCACCTGGGATTTGGGCCCCGTTGCTGGGCCCCGAGGGGCGATGTCTTGCCCCCTCTTCCCCTCTCCTCCTCCTCCTCCTCCTCCTCCTCCCCCTTCCTTCCTGTGCAAGAGCCATGGCACACGTGCAACTTGTATTGGGCCCTGAGATGCCGCCTGTGAGGCGGTCCGGTCGGTCTCGCCTGAGATATCCCTGCAATTGTGGGTTTCGAGATGCCGCGAGAGAGATAGTCCAGCCCATTTCGTTTAGACATCCTTGCTGCTGTCCTGAGGCGGTCCAACCCTTCCTGCTTGAGACATCCTCGCAGTTGTGGGCTTCGAGGCACGCGAGAGGTCCATTCAGCTTCCCCCCGCGCACTCTCGCAACTCAGGGCCCATGGATGCCCTGACCTGAGCTGGTCCAGCCAGTTTCGCTTCACACTTCGTCACAACTCTGGGCTCGGATATGACCTGGCCTGAGGTCGTCCAGCCATCTGCGCCCTATGCATCCTCGGTCTTATGGGTCAGTCGATGCTCTTGCCTCACGGTATCCGATTCCGTTTCCTTGCTGTTCTGGGTTCGCAGCTGCCGTGGACTGTTCGTTTCGCTCGAGATCTTCTTGCAATTCCGGGTTCATGTAATGTCCTCACCTCACGTGGTCCCGGTCCTTTTTGCCTGGGACATCGTCGGGGTTGTGTTTTCAGGGATGCCCACATTTGGAGTGGTTCGACCAATTTCGCCCGAGATCTCCCCTTTCTGGTCTCAGAGATGTCCTGTCAATGCTGTCGCCGATGACCAATTCGACAATATGTGTCACTTGTCAGGTGCACACTCGGGGAGACTGGAACCTACCTTGTTGCCAGTGAGAGATGTCAAGGGCGTACAACATCGCCCCTTACCATGGTTTACGAGGCTCGGTGCGCTGA